ACTTTCGCTCTGCGTCCGATACGGAGGCTGACACCAGTCCGTCGGTCTCGACCAACACCGGATGGGGAAGCTCTTCGAATTCGGCATCCCGAACAGCTTGGTTACTGCGCTTGCCGACCGAGTAGTCATCTGGAGACACCGTCATTGGTGGTACGTCCGACGGGAAAGAACGAGCACGTGCGAGCTTGTCTGTCCTGGGAATCACCTCCTCGACCAACGATACGGGCCGTGAGCCGGCAGCTTCGCCATCGTGAAGTCCATTTTCGGGTTCGGATGTCTCCGCGGTTGGGGGTAGCTTCTGGGATACGTGACGTGAATCCTTCCGCTTCCCCTTATCATCCGGGTTTCCTTCTTTGAAGAAACGTAAGCTGTGGCTTGCTTTTCGACTGGCTCGCGCGTTCGGCTCGACGCCCGCAATCGCCTCCGTGATCGACTTTTCGACCTGGCCGTCTTCACAACCAGCCCTCTCCCCGGTGCTGATAGACCATGCCTTCTCCGGTCCCATAGACAAACGGTGTTCGGCCTTTCGCGGTCTAGCATCGGGGACAACATCCGTCACACCCTCTGCGGCTGTGTTTCCACCATCAGATGGTGCGTGGGCTTCAGTGTGCGGTGGCGTGGCGCCAGTATTGTTCGAAGAGATGTGAGCAAAGTGCGCCGGGCGAGCTGGACGATCGTGTGCCCTCCTCTCGGCATCGGTTCTTTCAGCAGATGTTCCTCTTCCTTTGCCTTTGGCTAGGAAATCGCGGTGTCCACTGAGCATTGAGTTGACCTCCCCGAGATCCAACATGCCGTAAGCCTTGGGTGAGGCTTCAGCAGGGCCGTAAGGATAGGCTACAGTAGTAGCCACGGCGGTGGTCGACGGCATGGCGGACGCAGGTCGGGGGGAAGCTCGCGGCGTCAGGGCGCCGCCGTCGCTCGGCGGTGATGGAGCATTGTGAGAGTCTGGTGTTTCGACCTCCCTGCTTGGGTGTTGCTGAGGCTCGGGAGGAGACCGCGTGGCCGAGGGGTCGTCTGGGGTAGGGGCGGCCGGAGAGGTCTTGGGCGGTGCTAGCTCGAGTCGGGAGGCAGGGTTGTGGATGCCACGAGCTGTAGCAAGAGCCTGTGTCAGCAATGACGGACCATGAGGTCTGGCTAGGACGGCAGGGCCGCGGTGGTATTTAATCTGATCGCCCGAGGGCGAGGAGGGGACAGAGGAGGTGGTGGCAGACACGGTAGCAGCGGCAGAGGCGGGAAGGCCAGGCTGCGGCGCTGGTGCTACCGGCGGGACAGAGACATGAGACACGTCCTGCGGTCCTGCTGCTGCTGGACGGGGAGGTGGTGGCGCATCAGGGCTTGGGTTGGGGGGAGGAGTCGCAGAAGCGATCCCCCCGATCCCCCCAACCGACCGACATGGGCTCGCAGGGCTCACCGGTGCAGCGGGTGCGGCATTTTCGGAAGAGTAGGACGGGCGGGACATGAGGAGGACATCTGGCGAGCCGCTGGGAAATTGGATGGTTGCGGGCGAAGACGCTGCGCAGGTTGGGGAAGCTCGAGAGAGAGAGTCGGGGCAGAAGGTGGAGGCTCTCGGGAAACCTTGGCCCAGCCAAACTTAATTTTCCGTCTAATTCTGACAAAGTAACAAAACCGTGGGCCGGACCCCAAAAGCTACCTCATGCACGCTGCGCTGGGGGGGGGGGGGGGTGGCCGGGAGGAAAGGGCGGAAGTCGCACGGCGTAGAGCGGACTCGGCTGGTAGGAACATGGAGATGAGGAAAAGTAGGTGAGGAATTGCGTTCAATAGGGAGAGAGTAATGATGCTGGGCCTCTGACGCAACGCGGGAAGTGGGCTTGCTGATTGTGCGAGTGGTGGGTCCCAGCCCGTGCCAGCCTCTGTTTCTGGGGAGGAGGGGTCGTCCCTGGTGGAGGAGCATGCACGTACCGGCCTTGGATCGATCTTCTTGTGTCTCTCCAGCGTCTTTTCTGTTTGCAGTTCCTGCTTCTCAGTGCGACCGTGTTGCCGTGAGACAGCTACGAACGGCAGCCACCGCAGTGACAATCACGTCAAAACGCACCGGGAACCCTACGTGCGCAGTGGCAGATACTTAGCTTGGAGGTTTTGTTGAGATGATGTCGTCGTCGTCCGTGTCTTGGCGGGCTGGACTTCTCAGTACCTGCCCTATGTAATGCAGTCAAGCACCTTGGCCTATCGAAAACAGTCAAGTGCCCTGCCCTATCCAATGCAGCCCGGTCCCATCGCTTCCCAGTTTCCGCCGGCCTGGCCTCGTGGCAGCGCCGGACTAGAGCAAGGTGCATCGGCCGCTGATAACAGCGTTGGATGTCGAGTCCGCCGTCGGAGGCCCCCCGGCAGCCCTCAGCCAATCTCTAGCTCCCGACTCATGGTGAGGATGGAGGCGGTCTGGAGCCATACTGTTACGCAACCGAATTCACCTGGCACCAGATCACGTTGCCCCGATGCGGACGCTGGCAGGTTGTTGACGGCAGCAGCATGTCTCCCATTGGAACAGGACAAACGCGCGAGGCCACATGACTGGCTCGGCAGTCGCCAGCAGCTCGACGACAAAGCGGACCGAAGCTGGCAAACAAGCTTGGGAGACTGCGACTGCGTCTCCAACGGTCCGAGGTCGCAGCTGTTATCACGACGGATAGATACCGGCCTGTTTCCTCGTCGGTCGTCGTCGTACCACCCATCCACTTCGTCCCTGTGCGACCGGCCGATACGGGCGGTAGAGATACCCCGGAGTCGACGGCACGGCACGCTCGGCTCCATGGTCAATTACCCAGATGCTAACGCCAGTAACTAGCAGCCAGAGAACCAATTGGTGTCCGTCCGTGGTATCGCCAGTTTCGCTTTGACGAGGTCCGAATGCCGCCTCGACAGCGAGGTCGGCGTGCCAGGTTGACTGTTCCTGCAGTGTTTCGCAGCCCGAGCCCTCGACCGCCAATCATGCCGGAACGTGCTCGCTGCTGGCCTCCTCAGACCACCTCGAGGTCTTTGGTCCCGGCGTCGCGTCGCCATCGTTGCATTCCATTCACAACGCTCCATCTACCGCGACTAGCTCTGACTCCCGCGCGAATCCACTCGGGCCATGCGAGGCGGCACGTTGACTTTGGAAGCCCGACTGAGAAACTCGGTGTAGTCTTCCCGCCCTCGATATGACGGGATCAGACCAGGACAACATGGAATTTGGCTTTGCTGTCCTCTTCATCCCTGTCTCGACATGCCGCTATCGTGTTCCCCGACTCGGGCGTGGCCCTCGGTCGAGCTGACCGTGAGGATTCCGAAGTTGACGAAAGGTGACGAATTCTCCTGTCGGTGTGGGTTTTTGTTACGTGCTACTAGCCGACTTGGTCCGCTCAGGAGGTGAAGCCCAAGCACGTTTTTGCCTGACTGCTTATCGTCGTTCGAGCGTGGTGTAGATGGTAGGGATGTCGGTCATTGGTGGTTGATGAGGCTCTTGTTGCTACGCCACCCCCTGTCTTTGGCTGGGTGTGTTGGGCGGAGGAAAGGAACCGTCTGGCCGCAACGGCTGTGTGGTTTCATTGTGTAAGCCACCTCACAGGGTATGATTATGCAGCACAGCTCAGGTAGCCCGTTTTGGGGTCCAGGTACACAGAACAGAACTGCTCTATCGGAAAGCTGGTGTTCTAGCGAGGGATTATGTGCAGTGGTTTGGACTGCTGTTTTTAGCTGGCTTGTGGTTTCAAATCTCAACAGTTTAAACTGTGGAAAGCAAAGCTCTCGGGCGGAAATATTGTGACTGTATTGGGGTAGGAATTAGCCCAGCTTTGGCTGGGCCAGGTCATCTATCTATCTATTCTGCTACACCGATTGTGGTTGGCTCTGAATAGCCTCATCTGTTTGCCTGCAAGTCAACAAAGAAATCCAAGACAGTGATATCAGCCTGGCGTTCACCAGCAGCACTGGGGACCACTGCCTGTCAGGATGCCTGAATCCTCACACAACCCGCGGCAGTGGGTTTATGTTCGGACCTTCCAATTGATGCCCAGATCGTTTCTAGCAAGTGCTCGTGAGAATTTGAAGTGGCGTGTGATATGCTCTGATGTTGGTGCTTGCCAGTCTTAAACGAGCAGCTACTATCCCGTCACTATAACAAATGGAAAGCTTTCTTCGTACGCTGCAGACCGTGAAGAATCTAAGCAAGAGCACGACTTCCTCCCTTTGAACTGCCCATGTAGGTCGGCAACAAAGTTTGCATTCTGAAGAGGCAGGAACAAACCCGTTACATCGAAAAATTTGCTGGCTCGCAAGGGTCAACTCGGCGGCCCCAAATATCTATCTATAAATGGCCTCTCTCCTCTGCCCTTCGTGTCTGCTTGTTCTCTTCAAACTATCGAGGTGCCTGATGCCCGCCGTTCGCTCCCCAGCGTCGTCGGGTGGAGCCGCCTCGGAGATTGATGGACTGGCATCTTGAGATGAAGGGGTTTCTGGAGGCAGGAAGTTTCTGATCAGGGTGCCATGCCTCGAGTCAATCCAGGGGGCGTGCATAGTCCACGACTTGTCCCTTGGAAACTCATCAGGGGCTACATTCATAGATAGGTCTTATATAGGTCAGCGCTTTCGGTTCGATTACATTCGTGAGCTGGTCGAATAATATGAAGAAGCCGAATTTCCATCCTCCTCCCTGTTCCTCCTCGAAATGCTAATTACGCATCATCTTCTGGTCGCCACGCGGGCCCTCGGCTGGCCGTTGATGGGCGTTCCGCCGGTTATACCGCAGGCCGCTGCAGCTTCATCGAACATACAAAACACGGGTGTAGTCAGGCGGAGACAACAGAGTCTTGTCGAATGCCTCGTTCATCTCCTCGCCGAAGTAGCAACCAAGGCTTGCGTTTAGCCCAACACCTCCGGCGGTGCATTGCGGCGTTGTAGTACAAGAACCACATGGCCTACGGGGAGAAGTGCATGGAGATGGAGGCAGGAGGCCGGTTCCGATGAAGCTGGCCTACCTATGTGTAACAAAAAAAAAGTCAAAATACTGGACACAGCTGGAATCGAACCAGCTACTCCTCGGGTCGGCGTGGCCGCCGGATACTGAGACGAATAACCCGGGTATGTACCACTACACCATGTGCCCATCAGAAGGTGGTGGTTAAAGAAGTTTATACAGTTAACCTATGTCTAGGAAGGGGATATAAAGTAAAAAAGAATGAATGGACACAGCCGGAATTGAACCAGCTACTCCTCAGGTTGGCGTGGCCGCCGTTAATGAGAAACCCGGGGGAGGTGCCGTTACACCTTGTGCCCATTAGAAGCAGGCGGTTAAAGAAGCTTATAAAGCTGACTTGTGTTTAGAAAAACATAAAAGTCAAAAAAGAATGGACACAGCTGGAATCGAACCAGCAACTCCTCAGGTTGGCGGTGGCCGCCTGGATAGTGAGAAACCCGTGGAATATAGGTACCATTACACCTTGTGCCCATTAGACGCAGCTGGTCAAATGAGCTTATAAGGCTTTGTTGGTAGCCGACGGCTTCCACGTACAGAACGGCTGAGCGCGAGCTTCTTCGATTAACCAACTCGAGTAGGTCCGTCATGAGGAGAAAGTTAAGGGATCATCATAATTCAGCAGTTCCGTCCACGGCAAACATATATTCCAGCAAGACATCGTCTTTTGGGGGCGGAGTTTGTGGCCGGAGGATCGAGTTGAGCTTATGGGAGGGTGTATCTCCTGAGCTCTCTCATCGCAAGGAAAAGAAGAAGCAAGGTAACTTGGCGGAGTGGTCTAACGCGCCAGACTCAAGGGTGTTGTGTCTCTAAAAAGAGACTCCCCTTAGACCCGTGCTAAGACGGGTCTAGCAATTCTGGTCTCGAAAGAGGCGTGAGTTCGAATCTCACAGTTATCAAAACTTGCTCGGGGGTGTATAAGAAGCGTCTTCAAACTTTTATCCGTTTTAATAATAAATGGTCTAGGATTTTCCTTTTTATGACCACCGGGAACCACAGGCAGGACAAGGAGGGTTTTGCATAGCTCTAGAGACGGATACCTACGTTCAATGCCGCTGGCTTCCCGGACACGCTCGTCATTGGCGTTTCTCGAACTCTTTAAACGGTTCTCTCAAGAGCTGTCAATGAAGAACATTCAACTACGTATGTTCTATCCCTTCTAGGCTCTCCCAACGTCCACAAGCACAACTACTAATACCATTTATTGAGTGCCAGACTAACACGCTCAACCCCCAAAAATTCCCATGCTTACCAAAATCATAGCTAAACATACTACTACTGCTATTAAACCCGTTACTCCTCGCTTTCAATTTGATGGCCTAAAACCCCAAAACAAGTTAACCCTCCCACAATTGATCCCGCTGGCCGATGCTCTGACAAGCACATCTTCCCTATTCCCATTCGTTAACACTATGCCACATCGCTTTACAAGTCCGTTCCCTTCCCTTACGAGCCCACATTCCCCATAATTCATATCCCATCCCTTGTCTCCGCAAGTATCACCCCCAATTAAACCTCCCCCACCCCCATCTCCGCATCCAGCGCGGTCCCACCACCACCACCAACAACCCCAGAAGTAACCCGCCTCGCCTTGTCCAACTCAACATCAACATCCCAAGTCTCCAGAAACTCATCCAGATTCTCCAGCACCGCTGTAACATCATCCACCCCTCCTCCTTGCGTCTCCCCCTCCTCCTCCTCCTCCTCCTCCTCCTCCTCATCCTCCTCATCGACAGGACACGACTCCGCACAAGCAGCCTGCAACAACTCATCCGGATCCCCAGCCCCATCCACATCCCCATCTGCCTCGATAAACGCCCTCGCCATGGCATCCGCCGGCGGACTGGGACAGACCTGTTGGGACTCACTCGGCAGGAGCTGTACCACCCTCTTCGTCATACGAGTGCTGTGGTGGGCTTCCGGCATCCCCCGGGCGCGCCGCCGCTGGCTCGCGGCCATGATGGCGAAGTGCTTCCCGAACTTTTCGGTCTCGGGCGGGAGGTCGGATGTATCGACTAGCCCCGGAGGAGGGGGCGACGAGGCGCTCCTTGACCTTCTCTGGGGGGGGTCGGTGAAGACGGCGACGGTGCCCGGTGAAGAGGAAGAAGAAGAGAAACTGAGGGTTGTGGAATTCAGTGTGCCATCATCATCATCTGGTAAGGACCAGGAGACACGCTTGGCGACCTTTGGTTTCTTGCGGGACTTGGTTTGCGACAAACATGAGTCGAGACGGTGTCGTTTTGGTCTCCCCGACAGTCTCGTCCAGGGGTTGGATTGCGCGGCCTCGGCGAGGAGTTGGGTGCTCGGGAGCCGGCCGTTACTATCGGTTGGTCGGAGCGGGGGGCGTTTCGCTGGGGACGGGGTCATGAATTCGCGGAAGGACTTGACGGAGAGGGTAAAGTCTGGGGTGGGCAGGCTTGAGGTGTACCGATCTGGGGTTGATGGGACGTTGTGGGTATTGTTTGTATCAGAATTAGGGTCAGTAGGTAGTTTCGGTGATGAGAAATATGCGGCTGGCGCTGTCGGTAGAGATGGGCTGATGGCAGGAGATGATATGGGATTGAAGAGGCGTGGTTGGATCACTGCTGCAATCTGCGAATCGCCCCTGGCCCAGGGGCTCTGCTGGTTCTTAGTTTCGAGCATCAGACTTGCCACGACGTGCAATTGCGCTGGTTTTACCGTGGTTGTTGGCGTATCGGTGACTACCCTTGGGGCGGCAACCCCTGGCTCGGCATCCAGTGCCCATGGACTCTGTGGCCCAGGGCTCTCCGGCTGCTGGGCAGCCAGGTCTGCAACGACGCCGGGGTCTGCCTGCTCTGTTGGGTACTGTACCTCTGCGACATTCGGTAACCACGGGCTCTGTGGCCCAGAAGAGCTATCTGTCTGCTCCGTTGCCTGGTCTGCAAAAACACCAGTATCGTTCTGGTCTGTCGGGTGCTGTACTTCTGCCACCTGTGGTAACCACGGGCTCTGGGCCTCAGGGGCATCTGGCACCGCTCCCTCGAAGACTTCCGGGGCAATGTCTTGCGCCGATGGATGATGTTGAGGTGATGAAGGCTCCTGCTTCGCCTCTTTCCCGGCCCACGGGCTTTTCCCCCGCGACTCGGAAGAATCTGAGCTTGGATCTGTTGAGGTCTCCGAGCTGAGCTCCGTTTCATCCTGTCCAGAAGCAACGTCTATATCCATGATGGATGCGCTCGTCTCCCCAGTGACTTCGGTCGTGTCCATCGCGTCCTCATCTGGGCTTGAACCTCCCCTTAGATCACAGCCCGCCGGAGCCGTAGTATCTATTTCCATCGCATCTTCCTGCTGCTTCTGTCGAAAACTGTCCTCCCGGTCCTGGGCCGTGTCAGCCGGAGCAGACGGCGGAGCAACAACCACAGAGGCCGCTGCCGGGGTAGGCTCGCAGAACGGATCCGATGCAGAGTAATCATTTTGTGTCTGAGTCCTGGGCCATAGCAGCTTCTTAGGCAACCTGTCCAGCTCAGCCAAGATTGATTGCTGTGAATGCTTCTCGAACGAAAACGCGCCCAAGCTGAGTTTGTCGGATGCTCTTGACGCTATAGAAGCCATTAGAGATGTGGCGGCAAGTCTTGGGGTCGTTCCAGCCTCGTCCTCTCCCACATCTTCAGTCGGTATAGATGATGCCGTGCTCGACCTGCTGGGAGCCCGGCTACTCGGCAACCGGGATGCTCTGTTACTCTCTCTACCTCGCCGTTCGGTACTGACGGGTGCCGACGGGTACCTGGCTATGGATCCAAAAGAGTGTAACACCATGGGCTGAGGTTCGATTTTGACTGTTGTGATTTGTTCACCAGACGACGCCTGCTCCAAAGGCGCCGGAATGAGACCACCATGGCCATTGTTGACCTCTGTGTCCTCTGCCCTGCCCAGTGTCCGATCATTCCTTGTTTTGCCCAGGCTCGATTTTGATTTTGTCTTGTGCCGGATCTGGGGAGCTTTGCTTCGGAAACGGAAACTTTTGTCGGAACATGTTTGGAAACTAGTATCGCCGTTCTTTCTAGCGGATTTGATAGCTGAAACCATCTCGGCGAGCGGTACCGGGTGTGGCGTGGCATTGGGCGTCTCGGTGGGACTTCGAGTGCGGGACATGGTTTCGTAGAGCTTGACTGCAAGCGGACTCAGATCGCAGACTTCGAGAGCGGGCACAGATGTCAGGGACGGCCGGATACGCTCCCTCTGGCGCGGAGTGGCCTGCGACGTTCTCGAAGAATGTCGGTCGTGAGCATTGGTATCGGATGGCAGGGAGGCCGCAGGTTTCTGGGTGTGAGGGCCAACGACAAGGTTGGAAACATCGATAGAAGAGCTTGATTCTTCTGATTCGGCGCTTGCGGAGGCATTCGGCGCGGAGTGGTCTGAGGGTCGCCCCTTGCGAGGCAGTACTTTTTGCGTCGCATCTTCAGCAGGATTGCGCAGGCTTAGCCCGTCAAAAGAATCTTCGATAACATGAGACGTAGAGGGTATCGCGCTGGCCCATTCCCGTACGCGGAGTACCGATTCATAGCCGAGATACTCGTGGTCGGGGATGGCGCTTTGCGGGCTAGGAAGCTGGCAGCTGTTGGAAGCGGTAACAGAAACTGGTTTTGGTTGTTTTCCCGGAATGACAGCTCGAGGCTTCTTTTGCGCATTGGTTTCATCGTCGCATCTCTTTCGCTTCGGCAATCTAGCGTTGGTCGCAGTTGTGGTTCTGCTGGACCGCCACGGGTTCACCCAGCCGGACTCCTTAGCAAACGGACCGCGCAGCGTGGCCGAGAGTAAGTTCATGGGCTTCCCCTCGATAAAGCGGCGCGCTTGTGTTTCATAGGCTTGGCGACGGTGCGAAGGGCTCTCGTATCGGTCGTCGTCGGATCCGGCGCAGTAGATGTCGTCGTCATTGTCGACGGTGGCTTCGCAGTAGACTGGTTCGTTTGCGAACCGCTGGCGCCGCAGCCAGCTCTTAGCGGCGGAACCGCCGTTGTACCTGCCGGGAATCATGGTGGCGACCGCAAATGCGAAGATTCCGGCTGCATTGGCGGCGTCGGTCGTGGGTTGACGTTGTTGCGGGGAATTGAAGCCGGAGTCGGGTGGTCGATGCGTGGCCGGGATCCTCCCCCTTCGCGTTCACTAACTAACTACCAGGCGCGACGGGGCGCGACACAGACGCGTAAAAAGCCATTAAAGCGGGAACGCGGGGTCACCTGAGTGCGCCCTGCAAGCTCTTCAGCTGCCAGGGACCCACATCGCAGACAGCTGACGGCAGGGGTCTGGTCGCTGCAGCAACGGGCGACCATCCAATTCCGAAAACCAATCAGAGGGCCTGCCACTGTTTATGGAAAACGCGAGGAATTGCACCTTCCGCGAGCTTTGGTTCTGGTGTTTGACTTTGATCAATTGACGACATGAACCGGCGCGACAAAACTTCGACTTTTTGGTAGTTCCTTGAGCTTCCCATCGCGGATCCACCACCAACATAGCTACTACACCGGCAGCCGCCATATCCCCACGACAGCTCTGAACCGCTCCGAACAGCAATACCCCGCCAACTTGCAGCGCCCGGCCTGCATACGAGCACCTCACCTTCGCCAGAACTACTTCGCTTCATGGCCGCAAGGTAGAATATTCAGACCTCCGTGGCACGCGACGCACATCGACCGCCACCATGGGCCACGCCTGGCTGGACTCGCTCTCGGAGGACTGGGTCTCTCAGCCGGGATCCGACGCCCCGATCGCTCCCCTGAACGACGCGACAAACACCAAACCGACACAGAACTCGCCTACTCCCAGTCGCATTCCCCGACTGAACAAGACCCCCAAGAAATCACATACAGCCAACAACGAAAACAGCAGTGGCATCCTCAGCGAACGAAGTGTCAATGAGATCTTCGGTTCGGCCGCCCGT